GTTGGGAATTTAGCTGCTCTGATCATGACTTTCCTTCTTCTTCCCCCATCTCTGTTTCTTCCTTTCTTCATCAAATATTTGTTGAGCATCTACTATGTGCCAAGCCCTGGTGCCAAAGAGCAGGGATATGGTAGTCAATAAAACAGATGTGATACCTGCCCTAACATAGCTTGCTCAGTTGCAAGCCACATATTTAAGAGGAAATATAATCTCCTCATTGCTTTAGCAAATGAATGCTATCCTGTGACATGGAGGTAAATATCCTATTGCTCTCTCTGAGTGCTAAACAATAAATAAAGAGGGGAGGAATGAAAATTTGACATCAACTCCCAAGAGATGAGAAAACTTTCTGAGCAGTAAGAAGGACTATATTACAACAACTCTTTGACCCCAAAACAGGAAGAGAACTGGAAACTAAGCTATGTGAGTAGCTTGAAAGGACCAGTGAGTGAGGGACAAGCAGGCTTAGACATAGGAGACTAGTGCTAAACGCTGCAACAAGCCACAGAAGTGTCTCAGGACCAGCAGTTGTCCTATTGGCTATGTCGCTGGACTCCCATGTAGTGGAGCCCTGGATGTGGTGGCTTAAACTCATGCTGGGTGTGTGTGCGTGTGTGCCCAAGATCCCAAGAGGACAGTGGAGGAGAAGGGATTGCAGCGTGGCCATCCCCCATCTCGTTTTCTGTCTCTCTGTCTCTCTCTGTCTTTCTGGTAAGTGCATGCACCCTATAGCCAAAAACAAAACAAAACAAAATAAACAAACAAACAAACCTCTTGGGGGAGGGGGAACCAAGCCACAGAAGTGTTTGGAGGTGGCACGGTAGCTTAAACAGGAACCAGGAACTGAGCTGTTTGGCTCAAAGAAAAGGGACGTGAAAGAGGCCAGAACTTGTCAAGGTCTTAAAGAGCTCAGAACATGAAAGGCCTGCACTTCCAGCGAAAGTAGAACCTGAATCCATGATGGTTTTTCTATATGAAAAAAATGTTAAAGAGTTACTTAAGTTTATGTTGTAGTAGTAGTATTTTAATTTGCTACTCAACAGAAAGAGAGACAGAGAGGAAAAGTGAGAAAGCAAGCCACCAGGTCTGGAACTTGACCTATGGTCAGCCATGTGGGAGTCCAGCATCCTAACCACCACGCCATCCACCACACCATCTGCTGGCCCCTCTATATGAAATTTATTATTCATTTATTCCATTCATCCATTCATTTGTCAAAAGTTTATTTTAGGGGCAAGAAGCTGGGGTAGCGGTTAAGGCACTGAACTCCCAGATGGCTGACCACTCTTGGATCTGAAAGCTTGAAAACCTCTCTAGAAGCATGTGCCTGCCTGCCCAAAATCCTGAGAAGCGAACAGAGAAGGAACTACAGCGTGGCCATTTCCCCCGGAGAGTGATTTCTCACTTCTCTCTCTAGCGAGCACACATGCCCTATAGCAAAAATCTTTCTTATAGTAAAAAGTTTATTTTATTCTTTTTGAATGCCAGGCTATGCCAGTTGGGTATAATTTGGTGAATGAAACAAATTTGTTCTCTGCCTAGGTTGGGTTTATAGCCTGGTAAAGGAACCAACTAATATCAAGTAATCGAGCAAATTTATCAGTAAGAATGGCATGAAAGGAAAAACTAGGTGGTAGTAAGACTATCTTGAGAGGGAAGTGTTCAGCAAATTGTGAAATATTTCTTTGAACAAATGACATTTAGGCTGAGACGGCATGTGGTGTGGAGGCTAAGGCAGGTGGAGGTTAGGATTAAGGTTAACATGGCCGGCTGTGCAGTTCAAGTCCCAGACCTGGCGGCTTGAAAAGCATGCTAGGGGGCCAGCAGTTGGCAGGGTGGTTAAGGCTCTGGATTTCCACGTGGCTAACTGTGACTTGAGTCCCAGACCCAGCAGCTTGCTTTCTCATGTTCCCTCTCTGTCTCTCTCTGGTGAACACATGTGCCCTATAACAAATTAAAAAAAAAAAAAAGCATACTAGGTGTGTGTGCACCTGCCCAAAATCCCAAGAGGAGAATGGAGGAGAAGGGATTGTGGCATGCCCATGCCTCCTGTAGGAAATAAATAAATAAATAAATAAATAAATAAATAAATAAATAAATAAATAAATAAAAGAGCATTCCATACAGTGGCCAGTATGAGAAAAAACACTGATTGGAAATAAACTGGTGTGTTCAAGGAATGGATAGGACGCCGCTGGACCAAAGTATTAATTTTCATTGTGGATGCATTTGGAAGTGAGAGAAAGATTTTAAGCAGAGAAGTGAACAGATATGATTTACGTCACAAAATGATCACTCGGAACACTTAAATGGAAAATGAATCAGAGGGGGCCGAGGCAGATGCTAGAGAACTGATCGGGTAGCTAATGCGATGGTCCACGTGAGAAAAGCTTGCGGACGGACTTGAGATTTTAGAGTTGGATTCTTTAGGATTGAATGATGAGTTGTGGGGAAAATGAAGAAGAGGAAGGAATGCAGACCCAGCCCTAGAACAGCAGAGGTGCTCTTGATGGAATTGGGAGGATCAGGAGAGGAGGAAGTTTGGAGGAGCGAAATGGAAAGTGAGGTTTGGCAGGTTAAAGTAGAGATGCCTATGAGTCATCCAAGTGGAAATGTCCAGGGAGTAGTTCTGTCTGGAACATAGAGCAGGATTTGCACTGGAGAAGTCATTTCGAAGCCAGGGAAAGATGAAATTACCTAAAGGGGCTGTAGTGAGGAAAGAGCCCAGGATTGAGCTCTGGGCAGTGCAGATCCTCCCACGTTTACCAGTGAGGTAGAGGGGGAGGGAGGGGAGGAGGCAGTGAGACTGATGTTGTGGAAACCAAAAGAGCAGAGTGCTTTGGAAAGAGGAGTTGCATATAGGAAAGTTCTTGAGATGTTCAGTTAGATGAAGACAATGGAGCCAGTGGGTGGCGTAGTAGTTGTGGCACCGGACTCCCAACTGTGGTTGGAGTGCCAAACCCAGCAGTTTGAAACTCACGCTGGGCATCTGTAAATGAATACCCAAAATCCCAAGAAGAGAACAGAGGAGAAGAGATTGGCTGTCCCTCCCTGGGGTTGGGGGCTGATTTCTCACTTTCTCTCTGTCTCTCTGGCAGGCGTACATGCCCTATAACAAAACATCTCTTAAAAAAAAAAAAAAAAGAAAAAAAAGATTGGGACCAGCAGTTGGTGTAATGGCTGTGTAGCTGGACTCCCACGTAGTCGACTGTGGTTTGAGTCCTGGACCCGGTGGCTTAAACTCCCACTGGGCACATGTGCGGGTGTGCCCCAGATCCCGAGAGGAGAATGGAGGAGAAGGGATTGCAGCGTGACCATCCCCTCCAGGGGGGTGATTTCTCACTTTCTGTCTCTCTGTCTGTCTGTCTTTCTGGCAAGCATATGTACCCTATAGCAAAAACCTCTCCAAAAAAAAAAAAAAAAACCAGAAGACAAAAGGCACCATTAGAGAGTAACATGGGACCAGCCTGTGGTACTGTGGTTAAGGTGGGTGGATCATGCATGGCCAACTGTGCTGTCAGAGTCTCAGACCAGGCAGCTTGAAAAACATGCCAGGCATACATGCATCCACGCCCAGAATCCTGAGAGAATAGAGGAAAAGTAATTGCAGCATGGCCATCCCCCTAAAAGGTGCTTTCTCACTCCCTCTCTGGCAAGCACCCACTCCCTATAACAAATTTTTAAAAAAGAACACGGAGATCTTGGGATCCTGAAGAGAGCAGTTTAGAGCCAGGAGTAGACACGGGTGCTAGGTAGGATGGTATCTTTTTTTTTTTTTTTTTTTTTTTTTGAGAGGTTTTTGCTATAGGGTGCATGTGCTCACCAGAAAGATAGAGAGAGACAGAGAGACAGAAAGCGAGAAATCACCCCCTGGGGGGGATGGCCACGCCGCAATCCCTTCTCCTCCATTCTCCTCTTGGGATCTTGGGCATACACGCACATGTGCCCGGCGTGAGTTTAAGTCACCGGGTCTGGGACTTGAATCGCAGTCAACTACATGGGAGTCCAGCAACATAACCATTACACTAACTGCTAGTCCCTGTAGGATGGTATCTTAATTGGTAGGGTCACTGGGTTCTGTCATGATCTCTGAGAGACCATTGGAAAGTGGTGAGTTGAGGAAGTTCTGCGAGGCTAATTGGAAGGAACTGATGCTTTATAAGTCAGGGAGTCTGGGCCAGCCCCATAGCTCAGTAGTTAAGGAATCCCACGTGGCTAGCCACAGTTCAAATCCTGGCCCAGCTGACTTAAAAAATGTTGGGTACATGCATGTGCCCCTCAAATCCTGTTGGAATGGAGGAATGGGGGAAAAGGATTGCAGTATGACCATACCCCATTGAGACATGCTTCCTTCTCTGTGTCCCTCTGATGAGTGCATGTGCCCTCTGGCAATTAGGGAAAAAAAAAAAATCAGGCAGTTCACGAGTTTTGTCTCTCCTACTGGTGTCTGTGAGTATTAAGCTGCCTAAGTCTGGAAAAATGGTGCAGTCAGGAAGGCTGGACGGTGGTGCAGCCCTTACATGTGATAGGCTGTAGGCTGATCCACGTGGGAAGGTTGCTGGTTTGCAGCTCAAGACTTCCCTGAGTATGCTACCCACATCAGTGACCAGGACCCAGAGCTGTCTGGAATGGAGTGGATTATGACATCAAAACTGTTGGGGGTGCTGTATTTCTTTGTATGTGTGTCTCTGTCTCACTCATGGAATAAATAAACTTAAAAAAAGATGGTACATGGGACCAGCAGGTGGTGGGGTGGTTAAACCTGCTGGATTCCCACATGGACAACCGCGGTTCAAGTTCTGGACCTGGCGGCTTGCTTTCTCACTTTCCCTTTCTCTCGCTCTCTGTCTCTGTCTGGTGAGATTTTAAACATAACAACAAATGAAATTAAATATTTTTTTAAAAAAAGATGGCACAGAGGCTTAAGCCTCTCTTGGAACCTTGTCCTCAAGTTCTGCTAACTCACTTGTTTCCCTTTCCCTCTCCCTATTCCCCTACAGGACACTTCACAGCCATGGTCTGGAAGAATACAAAGAAGATGGGAGTGGGGAAGGCATCTGCAAGTGATGGGTCCTCCTTTGTGGTGGCCAGATACTTCCCAGCAGGGAATGTTGTCAATCAGGGCTTCTTTGAAGAAAATGTCCTGCCTCCAAAGAAGTAATTTGTCAGATAGGATGGGAAGGTGGCAAACCTAGGAATGTGGGTATCAAGTGCCTAGAACAACAAAAACCCAGCTGTGTGTCTCTGTGGGTGTACATGCTGGTGTGTGTGATGTGCGTGAGCATCTCTTTTACACACGTGGGTACACAGTTCTGTGCAAGCTCATCCTTATTACAGGAATGAGCCTTGGACGCATTTACCCTGTTGATGACCTAGACCACCAATTCCCTGAATGTGGGGAAGGGGCAGGAATCATTTTTTATTCTATTTTGGTTACTTTTAAAGCATACTTCTTTTGTACCTTTCTTACTTCTAATATCCATCCCTGGACTTTTTGTATTCCAAATATTTGTGATGCTGAGAAGTGAAGTTCATTTTATGAGATCTTCATGCACTGTAATCTCCTTTTGGTAGATGTCTAAGAGTATTAAACTCTCATTTAAATGTGACATAAAATGCAGCTTTCAGTGTGTAAATATAAAGCAGCGTCCCTTGGAAATATGGGGTAGGCAGGGGCTCCGTTTCACAGAATTTTTGAGATTATTCAGTTTAAGACATGATGTCATCCTGCATGGCTTCTGGAATTCTCTAATGGGACTGCCAAAGAACAAATGGGGAAAAAAGCTTTACTTCCTTGCATTTTTCTACCTTTAAATAGCAAAATATCACTACTACTACCACCTGTCATCCTCTCCTCACCCTTACCTTTTTTCTGGGGAGTTGGACCTGAATCTTATCCTTGCCCACCTCAGCTTGGTGGCCAGGCACCCCCCCACACACACACACTGCCTGGGCTCTGGGCCAAGCGGCCCTGGGTAGATGAAGTCAGTGAGTGGAGGGTGAGAGTGAGCTCAGGGCCCCTTGAGGAAGCCCTCTGATCTCTGCCTCCCCCCCCCCACCCACACACACACAGAGCAGAAGCCCAGGCCTGTCTGTTCCCGGCAGCTGTGGCTGCAGCTGTGCTGTCCCTCCTGGAATGTGTGACAAGCCCAAATGTTCCAGAGAGATGTCAGAGGCGGGGATTAGAAACGCTAATTTGGTTCTGTGTTTTGCTTCAAACTATACAAGGTCTGTATGGGAGGGACAGCCCAGATGCCAAGCAGAGTGTCCCTGAAACCATGGCATCTTCATCTGTCAAGGTAGCAGCGGCAGGAGTTGGGGGTTGCCACTTAAAGGTAGGCATCTAGGCAGGCTGGTCTTTGGAACAGCTTCCTGAAGGTCTGCGTTGCCTTGAGAACACAGTCTGCTGTGCCCCTCATTTCATCTGGGGATATCCACTAATATGACAATAAGATCTTTTTCTTTTGTGTAACATCTTCCTTCAATGTGTTTGATGCCTTCAATGTGATTTTTTTAAAGAGGTTTTTGCTATAGGGCACGTGTGCTCATCAGAGAGACAGAGACAGAAAGCAAGAAATCACCCCCCCCCAGGGGGATGGCCATGCTGAAATCCCTTCTCCTCCGTTTTCCTCTCAGGATCTTGAGCATGCACGCACACACACCCGATATAAGTTTTAAGCAGCTGGGTTCAGTATTTGAACCACAGTTGACTACGTGGTAGTCCAGCGACATAACCATTATACTATCTGCTGGTCCCTCATTATTATTTTTTAATTTGCTATCGGGCATGGGTACTTCCATGGGAGGGAAAGAGAGAAAGCTAACTGCCAGGTCCAGGACTCGTACCATAGTCAGTCATGTGGGAGTCCAGTGCCTTAAGCACCATGCCACCTGCCAAACCCACATGGCCCTTGTTTTTTCAGGACTTCCCAACAAATATGTCACTGAGAGCCCCCAAAGATGAAAATATTCTGAGTTTTCCCCTAGGGAGTCACATGAATGGAAAATGCTGTGTTGGGCAGGAGACTCAGGGTAGGTAAAGTGACCTGGCTAAGGACTTTTTCTGACCACACAATGGCAAGCTGCCAGTCACTGAACTTTCTGGCGGTTCTTAGGGGCATAACCCCCCCACACACACACATACCCCCCACCACCAAACTACACAGAAACATAGCCAGGTGGTGGAGGCTGGCATGGCACTAGCCTCTGGGCTGGAGTCTGTTTCCACAGTTAGCTGGATTAAGGAAAAAGCTGACTAGGGAAGGTTTCCAGGGCTGAAGAAAAGCCAGACAGCCAAGTTGGCTGCACAAGTGGTCACTAATCTCACTTCTTTGATGGATTTCTTGAAAATGGCAAGCCTAAATCCAACAAGAGCGAAGGACCAGTCAGAGTGCCAGCTCTCCTTCGCTACGGGGCCAAGGAAGGAGACTGAACCTTGGTCCAAGCCCTAGCTTGTGAACTGAGTTGAGAAAGCCCCTCCCCTTTCTGAGCCTCAATTTGTCCAGCCGTGGGACAGCTGGAGTTAGACATATGGAGTTAGGTCTATCAGACCCATTCAGATCTCCATGACACCTCTTGGGTCCAACTGTCTGACTAGAAGCATCTAATGATCCTGGGACCAGCAGTTGGCATAATAGCTATGTCGCTGGACTCCCATGTAGTCAACTGCGGTTCGAGTCCCGGACCCGGTAGTTTAAACTCATGCCAGGTGTGTGTGCGTGCGTGCCCAAGATCCAGAGAGGAGAATGGAGGAGAAGGGATTGTGGTGTGGCCATCCTCCCTGGGGGGGGGGTGTGATTTCTTGCTTTCTGTCTGTCTTTCTGGTGAGCGCACACACACTATAGCAAAAACCTCTCCAAAAAAAAAAGAAAGAAAGATCTTCCTATCCTGGAGGTTTGAAGCTTCCTCCACCCAAATGCCAAAGGCTGAAGCATGGGAAGCTGCAGGCCTGACCACCCAGGCCCTCCTCCTGGTAGAGATGCTCTGCCTGGATCCACAAGCAGCACGATGTCTGGCATCAGCACTGAGAAGCAGCCCCGTCCATCACCCAAATAACTGCTGCTTCTTAGGAGACCAGAGATGCAGAAGCTCTGAACACCCAAGCTTTCTCATTTCTCGTAGGGCAGATGAAGGCTCTAAAGGGATGGATTGAACAGCACTGCTAGTCTCGGTGTAAGGGAGCTAACCTCTAAGCCTCTAAGCTTTTCTACCGCAGAGAAAAAGAAATTCCTATCTTGTGCAAACACCATAACTCAAGAGACTGAGCCTCTCCATTCCATTCAAGCAACCAGGTGAACAAATTCAGTATTAAAAGGACAAAAAAATGTTTAAGAGGGGCCAGCAGGTGGTTAAGGGTGCTGAACTCCCACATGGCCAACCATAGTTCAAGTCCTGGACCTAGTGGCTTGCTTTCTTACTTTCCTCCTCTCTCTCTCCCTCTCTCCCCTCGCCCTCTGGTCAAATTTAAATAAATAAATAAATAAATAAAAAGTTAAATAAAATGATTGGGGGAAAAAAAGTTTGTGAGAAAATACTGCTCATTTTGGTGCATAAATAAATACATAAAACCCCCAGGCATTCACTTTTCTCATAATAATGCAGTTTCCACGAGCTTTTTGAAGACCGCACTATTCTTTATTTTCAAGTTGCCAAACCCCACGGTAAGGAAAAAGCTAGGTCTGGAATGAGCGAAAGGAGAGGGGAAGGGGACAAGGAGTAAGAAGGAGAGCATGACTAAAGCAGAGGGGGAAGGAGCTGGCTGGCTTGTCCTCCCACGCTGACTCTGCGTCTTCCTGGGAGGGGCGCTAAGGATGATCTAGGGGGCTGGGGTGGGGCTCAGGACCCAAATTGGAGATTCGGGATGGAGCCGAGTCCATATCCCTGCACCATCTGGCCTAAGCCTGGGCCTTTTGGGAGCCCCCAGAGGCAGGTCTGGGTGCAGTCATTACTTTTCCGCTCCCCTACAGGATCCTCCGGCTGATCC